TAATTATGTAAGACCTCGAAATATTGGTTTCCCACAACGAAAAGTATACATGGATCTTCCTATCTCGCCGAGCTGAGTCTATCTAGCTATGTATGTCCGTCTGTCCATATTAATTTGCAATCACTCAACAGGTCGCAATTATAGACCTTTACGAAATTATCTTTACGAAATTTAGAATGGAGGTGGGGCCAAAAATGGACCAAAAACTGAAAAATCTCCTGATTCGCAATTATGGACCAATCGAAACGGAAGTTAGCATGAAGCTAGAGCTTAGGGCTAGGCAGAAGCCTTCCAATTTTGATGGTCATCGGGAAATATTTAGTGGGTGAAATAGACCATTACATTTGTGTTAAATAGAAGTCAAATTTTCCATTAAACCGCGAATATTTTTAATCCCGGCGAGATCACAAATAGACGAACAGGTTACGTAGATGCCGATAGTATCGGATATATTTTGTTGTTGCAAAATGGTCAGGCTTAATCCCTTAATTGTTGTTTTTATAAAAATAAAGTTTGTTTATTAGTGGAGAACGATGGTAATGTTTACCAGGGGGTAAGTCACTTGGGTAAAAATGTTTTTTGTCATAGAAGTTATTTTTAAAATAACTTCTGGGGAGACTCTTTCCCAAACCTAGTTATTCCCTGCCTTACCCTCTGGTAAACATTACCATCGTTCTCCACTAATAAACAAATGTTGTTTTTATAAAAACAACAATAAAAGGGATTACGCCTGACCATTTTGCAACAACAAAATACTATGGTATCCCGAACAAACAAGCCAACACTGTTCTACATCGGATACATATAGCGAAATATATACAATGTATATATACAAAGGAAAGGGATTTTAGCTAGAATGTTTATATCTCCAGAATGGCTGGACCGATTTTGAAAAATTTTGTCAATTCAGAGTGCCCTCTTGGCATAAAAGAAAAAAATCTTAAAAAAATCGCATAAAAAGATGCCGATAATAATGTTAATATAGATTTTGTAGTACTTTGTGACATTTTTTTTATTCTTTCAAATTTTTTATCGCACGCGATTTTCTCAAATTGACTTAATATTGAAGTGAATATATTGTAATATTTTTTCACCTTACAACACAGGTTGGGGTTATTATATACAGATTGCAATTACCGCCCGATCTTCACGAAATTTTTCACAAGGGTAGGGTGAGGCTCAGGCCTATTGTTTTCAAAGATGTCCGCAATATATTTAGAGGATGAAATGGACAAAAAACGAAAAATGTTCCTGATTTTGCTGCCGTTATAAATGTCACAAATAGAAACCAAAGGACACGAAATCCTGCATGAAGTTAGAGTTTATTACAGCGGGTAGAATAGACCATCACTTTTGTGCAAAAAAAAAAATACCAACATTACTTACAGACGATGTCCGAAATACAAAAAAGGCTAACTTCTGGTTTTTTATGCTGACTTTGATGACGAATATAACCAAATATCGTAAACAAGCAAATCATATTGATGAGTCTAAATTTGGAGATACAGAGGGGCCTCTTGCTTTTAGAGATGATCGCAAAATATTTAGGGGTTCAAATGAACCAAAAACAGAAAAAAAAAATCCCGATCACACAATTGAAGCCAATTGCTACGCCTGAGAAGAGAGTAAAGAACAGGGAACGATTCTACATTTGACCATTGGATGACCTTTAGATTATACTTAGCTGTAAAATGGATCACAACAACTAACAGCACGACGGATTGCGTAAATATTGGGCAGATGATCAGGGCAGTGCTCCGTGACATAATTTCAAGAGCGAAATGTTCCAAAATCGATTTGGACATAAGGGGACTTCTAACATATTGTAGTGTTGCTTACTTGTTTAAAAATATTTTCTCAAAAAGTACATACTACTGTACCTCCCGATATTCGGTATTTTGATGATTTTTACCAATTTTTTCACGGATTCCTCTAAATAATTGGTATTTGTCCAGCTCGTGTGGCGAAACATTGTATGTATAGATCCACTTTTTGGTATACCCCTCATATAACGTTCTCTCGATATTCGGTGTTTTGATAATTTTGCAAATTTTTTTGCAGGATTTGTTTAAAAATTGGTATTTGTAGTTCTTAAGCTCCTGTGTCGGAACATAGTGTGTATAGGTCCGCGTTTTTGCCACATTTTTCCACGGACTTATCTAGAAATTGGTATTTATAGTTCATAATGGGTTCTTGCTCTGGCGGCAGAACATTGACGATTTAGGTCCACGTGTTCCTATAGCGAACAGATAACAATACCCACCATTACTCGGTATTTTGATTATCCTATTCACATTTACCCACGAAATTTTTTCAAATTTGGTATTTAAGAAGGTTTGGTAGATGGCAATCTTTGAAGTATAAAACTGCCTATAGAGTTTTCCGTTTGAGTATGGCCCCCATATAACGGCCTCACCCACTTTATGGTGGGCCCCCATATATAAAAGTCGGGGCACGCCCGACTTTTGATCTTTACTTACTGGTTTATTCATGATTAATTGAATGTTCCTCAAATATTGAGTTTTTTAGATATATTTTGTGAAGACTTTTTTAAACATGAATAATTTAACATTAAATAATAGCCATAATAATGGCCAATAAAATTTAAATGGCCATAACGCATTAAGAATTGAGTTTTCAACATTTTTAACTATATTTTGTGATCACTGGTATTTCTTAAAAAATATGAATGGAAATCTACGTTCATTGATTTGGAAATTCTTAAAATTATTTGGAAATATTACAAACATAATCTAAATTCCTAGCTCTGGAAGTCCTATAAGAAATATTCTTAAAAAATTCACGATCCTAGCTCTAGAAACCCCTCAAAAATTGTTATTAATAACCCCAGTTTCGTAGGTCTGGAAGAAATACTATCTCTTCAAATCTACGCCCCTTGCATTAGAAAACTTTTAAAAGGTATTTTCTAAAAATCCGCATTCCTTGTGAAACATTTTATAAAAAATCCTTATTATCTGTTTTTTAAAAGAACACATCCCCTGCTCTAAAAGTCCTCATTTGGTTGTGTTGATCCTTAAAACTTAGCCCTAAGAAGTCTAATTTCTTAGTGTTCTTCGCAAAAATTTCAAGTTTGTTGGCTCTTCAAAAAATTTATTTTTTGAAAAGTCTACGATCCGTTCTTTGGCCCTTGAAGAAATACTTTAAAAAATCTGCACCTATTGGCGCTTAAAGAATATTTTTACATTTTTTGGTCATTAAAAAATTTCTTAAAATATCCAGTGTTTTGAAAAGTTCACGTCTATTGACCCTGGATAAATATTATTTAAAATAAACCTTTGTGGTAAAAAATCACCATCCATAAAAGGATCCATTTTTGGAGTTTTGAATAAAACAATTCTTTTGGATTTTTCATATATTTTTTAACAAATTATAATTAAAACGATTTCAAAATATTTATTGATATTACAATTTAGAACATAAATAATACATTTAAATAGCTTGATAATACAACAAATATTACACAAAAATAACAAAAAAAAAAAACTTTTGACTTATACAAAAAGCTCTAATAAAGGAAAGCATTGGTTTGAAAGTTGACAATTAGGCGGTTGAAAGCTGATTTGAAACTTAATCTTACTATAAGAAATTTCAAAATATCAATACACATTCTGATTAAAAAAAATCTTTAGAAGTATTTACAAACTAACGCTTTGAACGACAACTGTAGGACTTTGAATTCGACAGAGAAATAAAAACCAATAATGCGATAGCATTATTTTGAAACTAAGAAGAAGACATTTAAAATTATGTCAATTAAGCCAAGGAATATTTGAATACTTTAAAGGAAATATTTTCAATTTATAAATTTAAATGTTTGAAATTCGGACCATGTTCTGGAAAATTTAAAGACAATTTTTTGCTTGTCTTTATTTATTGGGGTCAACAGAAAATGTTGAACTTTATGTGGGGAGGCAGTTGTGGTAATACAAAGGACTATTATAACAATTCTTTGGCATGCTGTTATTATTTCAAGTTAAGGCATAAGAATATGGTTTAAATATTAGACAGATATGCAACTTTGATTGCAACACGACAGCTAACTCAAAGATTTGTAGCAAAACACTAAAAGGATTTAAGAATTCTAATTCTGTTCCTGGATAAGCTATATTTCTTTATTAAACAAAGTATTCCATTTAAAAATTGTGAGAGTAAATATTTAGATGCCAAACAGGAGTTATTACAATTTAAATTGCCATTTGAAAATACAACGTTTTAAATTATTATTTCAATATTGCTTTTTATTATAATTAGAATATTAAATTAAGCACTTGCAAGCCGTAAGCAAGAAAAGAAATCAATACAAATAGTTTGTTAACAAAATGAAGAGTTTAAAAGATAAGAAAATAAAAATTAAAATTAAATGCCGAGCATTATATACAAAAGTTTGATTTTTTATAGGTAGATAGATTAGTTTTCGCAAAGATTAAGTAAAATTAAATAAATATTTTAAAATTACAAGGATACATAAGTTTTTAAAACAATGACATGCTTAAAATTATGAAGAATGACTATACATACAAAAGTAGAAAAGCTGCAATTTAAGTTGGACTGGGTGGGCGGGAAGGAGGTAGTAATCGAGTCTGAGAGTTAATGAAAAGCGTTGTGTTGTGATTAAGGAAAATAGTTGCACTTATTATCTAAAAAGTAAATAAAGTGTTACCTTATTGTTAATGGTTTTGTTAATAATGAACCTGCTTAGGGGTCCTTCTAAACTTGCACTTTAGGGTTATAGAATTTCAACGTGTTAAGGCTAAGTTTGATTTTTCTGTTTGCAAATCCGCAACAAACCACATAAAGGCACTTATTTACTTTAGCTGAGTAGTAGTGATAATTCCATAACTATACCTAAATACATACATACATATCTAACACAAATTTATACTTAGATTTTAATTATTTACATATGCTTTTCACTTTGTTTTTCCTAACTAAACTTAAAATTAAGTAATTTTTTATGATTTTGTGCTTTTCTTAAATACTATGTTTGTTTAACTTAATTATATTATGGCTAAGTTTAGTATAGACATTTTTTGGGGGAGAATGGGAGGGATGTATTCACTTTTTTCTTTTGGCTTAGTATTCTGTCCTATTCCATTTTGTTGATGCTTATGTGGTTGGTGGTTTACCATGTACCCGGAATCGATAGAGACACGTGTATAGCGGTTGACCATGATTCGATTCAATACGCAACTCCACAATTTCATAGGGCCGATTGATATTTTGATTTTGCACCGGGAAATACTGCAAAGAGGCGTCGTTATCAGCGTATTCATACTCACCGAAGAGAACGGGTTCTTGATCCTTTTCGTGTTCCAGACCCTGCAAAAGGGAGTGGGGGTAAATTATAAAAAGAGTTTTGTTAAACGGCACACCAAAAACTAATGTTATCTACAGAAGTCCTAAAAATGAAATTATTCATCCGTAAAACCGCAAATATACTTCGTCTCCGATTTTCATTTCTAGTAGAACCTCAAAAGGTGTTTTGCGATAGAAAGGCCTTGTCTGTCAATAACAGACGTTCAGAAAGTATTCTATCACAAGGAGAACATCAAGAGTTCTTCGCGCTACACAGGGTCCGCTATCTAGAGCCCCTCCCAAAGTTCTTTAACTCTAACTATGGAGGCATTTTAGAGGTTCAACTACGTTCAGAAGTATTTTAAAGACTATTAAAAACTCTTATATATGTGGGAGACCTTTAGTCAATTCTGTAGCCATAGAACCTCACAATGTGTTTTGCAAAAGAAAGGCCTTGTCTGTTAATAACCTTTAAAAAGTATTCTATCATAAGGAGAACATCAGGAGTTCTTTCTATGCAAGATCTTCCCAAAGCCATCAAAAACTCTTATATCTGTGGACCACGTTTAGTCTATTTTGCAGCCAAAGAAAATCTTCATTCTGTAGGATATTTTCAGAGGTTCTGCAATGTACAGGGTTCCTTCAAATGGTTTTCTTTCTAAAATAACCTTCATAAAGTCTTTTATCTATATGGGAACTTCAGATAGTCCTCTATTCATAGGATACCCCAAAAATATTTGTGCCTGAAACACATTTAGAAGGTATTTTTTTCACTAAGACCTTCAGAAGCTGCTCTATTTATAGCAGGCTTTCAGAAGGTATTTTAACTGTTTAAGATTGACAAAGGTCCTCTAACTATAAGATCCTTTAGAAATTCTTCTAACTTTAGAATACGTTCAAAGAGATTTCTATCGGCAAAGGTCCTCTAACTATAAGGACCTTCAGAAATTCTTCTAAAGGGACTTCTATCTATAGAACTAAATTTTATAGACGATCTTTATAAGTCTTCGGTCAATATGAGACCTTTTAAAGTATCTTCAGAATCTCCTCCAGGCATTAAAGAGCTTGAGAAGGTATTTCTCTATAGGAGATTAATGGGGGACCTCCAGAAAATATAACATCCGTCCGAAAGATCGTCTATCTTTGGGATTCTCTAGGTTCTCTAAAAATTGAAGTCCCTCAAAGGGAATTCTATCTCTGGGAAACCTCAAAAGGTCTTCCATCAGTAGAAATCATTGGAAGGTCTTCCATCTTTCGGGTCAGAAGGTCTCCAAGCTAAGGGATATCAATTAAATATAAATTAGATTAGGTCTTATCTCTAAAAGAGCGCTTCAAACGGTGTTTTGTCTATAGGAGATCTTCAAAAATGTCGTCTTTCTATGATACCTTTATAAAGACTCCTAGCTGCAGAAGTATTCTGGAAGGTCCCCTGTTTCCAGGAGAAATTCAGACGAATTTGTTTTTAAACCTGTGACTGACCATTCAAAAAATCTCAAGAAACTTTCAGAATACCCTCCATTTCTAGAACATCTTGAGAAGATCTTCTTAATGTCTAAAGAACATCTTCAAAAAGATACTTGCCCAAAGGAGTTTAAAGGTCTTTATTTTAACAAATTTTTAAACTAAATCTAATTTTAGTAACTTACCCAAACTGTGAAATTCTTGGGCGCAGAATCAATAGCTCCATTGGGTGCCAAGCTTTTGGGTATATGCTCCAGGGTAAAGCCAGTTACATAGACCAATGAGTTTAATTTCAACACTGAAAAACATATATGGATAAAATAATTAAGCACCAGATCCGGAGCACAACTGGAACTCATTTCTAAGTGACTATAGAAATGAGTTTCAGCTCTGTTTCCAATTTCTTCTCCCTCTTCTAACAGGTAATTCACATAAATTCTTACCCAAAAATCCAGGGAAACCCTGAAAGGCCCAACATTCACCAGGTTGGACATTAGGAGATATGGCCACACGTGGGGTATTTGTGGGATACCACAAGGGAATACCGAAAATGGATATTTGAGCCGATTTGGTTTGATAACTTTCCGTACAGCGTGTAGACAATATTTGACCACCAGCCGATTCCAGGGCGAAATCAACCAACCCCGTTTTGTCGGCATCATAAATAGCCAAAACCGATTTCACAATATTGCGAACTTCTTCCTCGGACAGAGCAGCCTTGATTTGCCCCTCCAGCTTGGTGTTGGTCTCTTTGTGTTTATTCTCCACGGCTATTATGATTTCTTGTTTTAAACGCTCACTTATGTCACGCATTAGGAACATGGCAGATTTGTCAATTTCTTGCTTGATTTTATCATGGGTACGATTGTTGATGTCCGACAGGCGTTGTTCCAAATAATCCTTGGCCACAAACATTGAATTGACCCAATGTTGTAAATCACCATCATCGAATTTAGAGGCATCTTTCAGCGACGAACTAAAGCCGAGGATGTCAATCAGAGAAAGTTTCACTTGCTGATTCAGCAAATGGAATTGTTCCTCTTTGAGGGTATTCAATTTGGTGGAGATTTCTTGCATGAGATTTGAGAACCGCTGATCGGTGTTGAATTCCAATTCCTGCAGACGTGCAAGTAGATCATCTTGGGTCTGTTGCAAATGTTTAATGGAATAGTGGAGATCTTCGTTTTCGGAGAGTTTATCGCTGAGGGAAAGTTTGATGAAAGCCACCTCTTGGCCCAAATTTTCAATAATCAATTTCTGTTGTTCCAAAAATGCAAAATTATCGGAACCATCCTTCGCGGCGGCACCTTGGAAGTTTTGTAATTCCAAAAGTTTGTCATGTAGTTTTTCATTGATCTGCGAGGAGATTTCATCGTGTATGTAGGTGGTGAATAGAGAAGATTTTAAAAGCTTTGCTATCAGAGCATCGAGATCCAAATTTTCCACCAAAGTGTGATAATGGGCATGATTGTTAATTTCCAAAGTTTGGGAGACCAAACGTTTTATTTCCTCTATGTTTTTGGTAGACAGTTGTACGGGCAATTTGAAATCCGAGCCTTCCTGTAGCTTTACGATAACTTTTTGTACTATTAGATTGAGGTCACTATCGCTGAGTGTTACAGCAGTGTCTTGATCACGTTTTTGCCGCGATATAACTTCCAAATTTTCCTTCATTATTTGTACTATTAAATTAATTTGTTTCGATGATAGCTCCGACGATGCCTTACTCGCTTGCAAATCCAACTTCTTTTGTTGTTCTTGTAATTTAAGGTCCACCAATGTTTGAACATAGGAATTGATGTGATTCAAAATATTTTCATAATCCTCGGTGGGCATGGAATTTTCCATAGCTAATTTGATGTTATCCAATTTCTTTTGACTAGAACTTTGTTGGCTAGAGAAGAATAGAGGTAGAAAGCTTTTGATGGCATGGACATTGGTATACAACGATCCTCGGAGGGTGGTGATCAGCGAGAGGGGCAGCAGAGAATTCCAACTTTGCGTATACACGACACGGTCTTCTTCATCCAACAGGTACCAGGCTAAGGTGGTGGTGTGGGTGTGGGTGAGGAAAGTAGAAAGAAACAAAAAAGCAATGGATTAGAAAAATACTCGCTGCATAATGTGGAACCTTCTTCATTTGTTATACAAAAATAAATACGGGGTAAAACAACGAGGTTGGGTTGATCAACATTTAGTAAAGGGTTTTGTATTTAAGCAGGGGAGAAAATTTAAAGGCCAATTATAAATCTAAGTAAATTTGTTTAAGCGTAGCTAACAATTTTAAAAAATACGAAAAAAAACAAACAAACAAAAATAACAAATGAAGAAGGATAGAGTATTTTTCCAATTCGTTGCCAACTGTTTTCCCCTTTTCTGCTCTTTACCACCACTCACACACACAGTTACATATAGTCATACATGAAACATAAAGGAATACTTACCACCTTAACTCAGCCCGCCCACCCAAGTTATATGTTTTAGAACGTACCCTCCTCCCCTTTCAACCTACCCCTAAAATTTTCGAAAGCTTATGGGAAAACATTAGTTTCTCAAGGAATTTGCAGATAAAGAGTCGATCTATTAAACTGATGTTAATGTTTATTTCTCAAACCAAACTTAGCTTCATTTGAAGTACTTAGAGCTACCCGAGCATATTTGTCCAAAAACGAAAATGAAGGGGTATATACGAATAAATAAGAATAAGCAGAACATTTGGTTAATTGATACGGTCCCAAAACGGTGGAAGTGAAAAATAATAACGAAATTCTGTGGACCGATGTGGATAATACTCGGTGTTTTTTTTTTTTTTTTTTTTTTTTTTTTGTATTAAAGCTGAATCTATCTAAATACCAAAAATTTTCATTATATACTGGTATGACTTTTTGAATATAAAAAATAAATAAAACCATTTCCCATAAGCTTTCACTTGTCCTCCTCATAAACTTCCATTTATATCATACAATTGACAACTCAGGAAAAAATTTTGTTTGTGTGTGTGTTTACAAAGTGTTAGGGACATGTTTTTATTTATTCAATAAACAAATTAATATTAAACGATTTTAGAACTAAAAAATTGTAGACAGCGAAAGGAAGAGAAAAAATGACAATATATTTTTAAAGAAAATTTTCATTTTATCTTAATATTTTCTGTTAATGTTGTTTAACAACTATTTTTGTTCTGTTCTTTCATTTTAATATCAAAAGTAAAGACACACAGTGAATTAAGAAAAAAAGATAGAAAGAATACTACATATATACAGGGCGTTCCAAAATAAATGGGGATAAAAATTGAAATGCCTTATGACGGAGTGACCTCTCAATAGGTAAAATTTAACACTTTTGGGTTTATAGCTAGGAAAGACTTCAATTTTCCAAATAGATAAGGATCGATCTTACTATGAAGTCCTTGATTAGAACCAGAGTATAAATTAGATTTTATAAAAATTTCTAAATAATTGCAAAACAAGTTAAAAACAAATCTAAAATTTATCTTCGAAGATAGGAGGCCGTTAAAAAAAATTGGACTTTAAATTTTTTGGTCTGGAAGATTTGTTTTCAAATATGGCGGCATCGTTACATCTTTCCAATATATATTAGAAGAGAGAAGAATTTCGAATCGTATTTGAAGGGTCCCTATATAAAATTTACAGAAGACAACTGACCATTTATTTCAAAAAACCTTTCAAAGGACATAAGACATAAGGCCGGCCTTCTTTTCTTTGGAGGTAAAAATAGTCGAATTTCCAAAATATTCTAGATGGAAAAGAATTTCTCCCTAGGTCCCGGCAAAAGATGTTTATGTCTTTAAAAGATCTCTGACTCTTTATGAGAAGGCTGTTTGAGAAGGCCATCCACAACAGAATATAACATTCATAACGAAACCCTAAAGATTTTGAAATTCTAAGTGTTTTTTTATACAAGACCAAAATTTCAATATTTGAGGAGTTCTCTATGGGAATGTCATCTTCTGGCCCTCCATAGGAACAATTAATGGCTACAATTATAAGCTCAATTATTCCTGAAGGAAAGATCTTCCCAGATGCACGTAAGAGGGAAAAATGTTGTGTATAAAAATATTGTAGAATGTCTTTTCCAAAAGTATTTTTTTCCTCAAACTCGGTAGGACCTGCTTATGGCTCTTCGCTAGAAGACTGCTAGATTATCTTTGAAATAGGATATCTGCTCTTTTTTAAGACAAACATTTGATCATATAAAATATATCCTTTATTTTCTATGAGAATAATCTATCAATCCCTATATGAATTCCCACACGCTGATCTTCTATCAAAAAACGCCATCTAGTCTGCTATTACTGAAGACTAACTGATCGTTTGCTCTTCTCTGAGAGACATTCAAATATTTTAAAAAGGAATCTTTGATCGATATATGTTAGAAGCCATCTCGTCTTCTTTAAGAAAAGAGTTTTGTTTTCTTAGAGGAGACTTTTGAAAAAGCAGCCTGTACTTTTTTGAACTTTTGGTATTCTTTGTGAGGAGAAAAGCTTGCAGAATTAAAAAATAATTCTTGTCATCTAATAATTTTGCAGTTTTTACTTGAAGGAAACAATTTTGAATTTGTAGACGATTAATATGCCTCTCCTGGTGTTCTTCAGACACATCTTGCAGTATTTGATTACAAGACGATTTTTAGGCCTTCCAACAAATTGGCTTCTGATTTTTGTGTAAGACTATGACCAAGTGTAAGAAAATTTGACTATTCTCCATATTCATCAATGAGCTCACTGTGGCCAAATTATCTGAGAAGACATTGAATCCATCTTAAAAGGGTTTATCTATAAATTTTTTCGTGGGACGATTTGTATTGTCCTATGTTCATGCGATGTGGAACAATCTTCTGAGAAGACATTCCAGTCCTCTTTATAAAAAAGTCACATAGTTCCTACGACTCCTAAATTTCATCTAACCCTCCTCTCTTTTTATTCTTTTTTATTCTTGAAAATGACTTCTTTCCAAGTTGTGTCACTATATTTCTGAGTTACCCAAATGGAAAATCTTGGAAATATCAAGTCTTTATGATTATTATTCTTGTGTTCTGTCATTCAGTAAGGAAATTTTCGTTGATAAAGAGTGCACTTTTCTGTCTAATTGAATTCCCAATTAACTAAATTTGTTCTCCGTCTTTTGCGATTGTGATTTCAGTTTAAACGTTTCTAATTAGTTTATCCCATCATTTCAATTTCAATTAACCCTGTATATATAACAAAAAAAAATAATAAACTATATAATATTATGATGTATTAGTTATATAATACGTTTTAAAACTAAAATGATATTTTAGATATTTTTTTTGAAATATATGTAGTGAGAGAAAAAAATTATATATGTATTTTTTTATATATTGCAGCGGTTGGTTTTGGTTATAACACTCTATCCTTCTCCAAATTTGCTATTTTTTGTGAATGCTTTTAAAGCGCTTTGCACGATGGTTTGTTTTGGTTTGGAAAATCGCTAGGTTTCCTTTTTAAATTGAGTGGGGGAATGGGAGAATCCATATTTATGGATTTTTTTCATAATTTTTTGTATTAGGCATGGGGGATGGCAAATGGTTTTGTTTTTGTGGGATGTATGTAAGAGAATTAAACTAAAATCGATATTAACCGAGAAAGAAAAAATGCAAAAAATTTGTACGTTTTTGTTGTTTATAGAGCGAGAAAAATAACTAAGACTAAGAGCTATTACTTACGAGGCTAAATATAAAAAATAAATTTATTAAAAAAATCATAGTAGTAGTGATTGTAGGAAAATGCCTGGAAAAGGGTGATATTGAAGAGAGTATAAAAAATAATAACAAACAAAAAAATAAAATTAAAAAATAATCACAAAAAAACATAAAATAACAAAAAAAAAAAATACTAACAAAAAATACTAAAAAATCAATGAAAAAAATACTAAACAAGAAAGAAAACAACACGCAAGATTTTACAATGGACAACGTTATGTAACAGTATTTTAATGTGTTTTTAGAAAATAAAAATTTTTAAATGGCAATTTGGAATTTTAGATAATATAACTATCTATAGAAAAAATATATTTCTAATTCCAGTAATCTTTTTCAAATTGATGAAAAGGGAAGTTTTTTAGTAAAGTATAAGAATGGCACAAAATAATGTTGAATAACATAGAAAACAATTTTATTTTCAAGTCTTTTAATCTATACCCTAAATATAAATATATAGAATTAAAATCTATATATCAAAAAATGGGAAAATTAATGTTAAAACATTTCAATTTTATTTTGAGAAGCTAGCTGTTGTTTTCTTTCCATGAAAAAAAGTATTGGTGAAAACGCAAAAAAAAAAGAAACCTAAATTCTTCGAAACTTAAATAAGAACTTTAGAAAAAAATATTCCTCACTAAATCATAAAGTATTTGTAAAAAGTATTTATACGCGATTGGAAGCAACTCAAAATTAAACACGTTCGAAATGTTCGTCACGTTGAAATAATTTACGGCCCTCATCGACGATATTTTGCGAGACGGTCTTTAAATATAGAAAGTAATCGGCAGACCAATCGCGCACGTTTTCAATACGATTGAAAGCCTCTTGTTTATATGCTTCATATTTCGCCTCATTTATATATTCGGATATATCGATTTTAGGTAATTCGGGTAATTGGAAATTATATTGAGAAAATGATTTAGGAGGGAAGGGTTCATTGGGATGTAAATAATAGTAAGTACCTGAAATCGAAATTGAAAAACGAAAATATATATAATATAGATAAAAATGTTATTAGAGATATGGTAATCAGCCAAAAGAATATTGTAAAAATAATAACAATACAACGTGCAACGCAAACAATTTTAAAAATAGTATATCACGCAGTAAATATTAAATTTTATTTCAATTATCAATCGTTCTCAAGTGTCTTATATTAATCAAGAAAAATAAGGAACTTAAAGTGTCTCTTTCTTTCTCTCTCTCTCTATCTGTATCAAAGAAACCCCAGAAAACTTCCTAAAAGTGACCCATCCATAAAAAAAAAAACATTTAAAAACTTTAATTCCAAATAGATCTCAAAAATATTCATACTTGAAGGTCTTAAAGGTCTTGTATTCATGGAGAACCTTAAAGGTATTCTATCCAAATGACCTCTAAGGGTTTTTGTCCAAAGGGGACCATGCAGGCATTATATCCAAAAGACCAATAAGGTCTTCTGAAAAAGTGCTAAAAGGTCTTCTATCCATAGAAAATCTGAAAAGTCTTCTATTTATAGAATTCATAAAATGTCCTCTATGAATAGAAGACCTCAAAGGCCTTCTATCTGTAGTGGACCTATCTATCTATCTATCCCTCGAAGATCTAAAGGTCCTCTACCTAAAAAGTCTAATAGAAGAGCTCGAAAGTCTTTTATGCACAGAAAATCTCAAAGGTCTTCTATCCATAGAAGACCTAATAGGATTTTTATGAATAGACAACCTCAAATTTTTTTCTATCAATATATGACCTCAGGGCTTTTCTATCCATAGAAGACCTCAGAGGTTTTCAATGCATAGAAGACTTGTAAGATCCATTGAAAATTTCAAAGACTTATTCTGCCCAAAGAAGACCTCTAAAATCTTTTATCCATAGAAAATCTCAAAGGTCTTATATCCATAGACGATCTCAAAGGTCTTCTATAGGAGACCTCAAAGTGCTTCTATTCAATGAAGACCTCAAAGGTTTTCAATCTATAGAAAATCTAAATGATCTTTTATTGATAGAACACTTCAATAGTCATTTAAATATTTAAGACACCCCATGCTCTTTTTGGTCCTTTGGGTCTAGAAGTCTTGATTTTTACGATTTTTTAAAATTAAAATTTACTGAATGCTTAAAAGCCGAATAATAATTACAAAAAAATAAAACTTACCCGCCAACAACAACAATGGCAACAGCATCAACAAAAATAAGAGGAAACGTTTTTTGCTCTTATTATCAGCACTTGAAGATTGCAGCAACCATGTGTCCAAACATAAAACCGATGATATAAACAAGTACAGATTACGTGTGAAATATGCAAAAGCCGAGGTTATGCCATAAGCCATTGAACCAAATAACCCTATATTTGCATAAATAAAATAAAATTTAGTAAATAACAACAGAAAAACACATTTGAATTGAAAACCAACCTCTATCTTCTTCAGCCAATTTCGTGTGATACATACTGCTGCTGCCACTATAGCTGGTGTAACGGCCAACTCCTCCGTTTTGTTCACTATTCGACGACCCAGTAATGCTGGACCATGTTGTGGTCAGGGTGGTAACAATGGTGGTAATGAAACGCATTAACCAGGACTCTTGCTGCAATTGGTGATCCTGGTTGTAAAGATTTGTGGCGGTTCTACGATATGTATAATCAACCTCATCACCCGAATCATAGGCCAATTTTTCAGCAGCCCTTCTATTTTGGCTGTATTTTGAAGATTCATAGCGACGTCGTATGTATTCTTCTTGGGCAGGATCACGTTCAATCATGTAATTGATGCGTTCATGATGATTTTCCAAAGATTTGCGGGACATATTGGGCATGGCAACAATGCCGGGGGCCAATACACGACGGTGTGGCGATAGTTCAGAGTAGGTGTAATCTGTTTTGGGGGTGGTCCTAGCAGAAATAAAAAATAATTAATATAAAGAAAATATTAAAAAAAATTTCCGTTGAACTTACTTCCAGTATTCTCCAGCCTTTTTGTATTCCAAATAGGCCACGTGATCACTGGCCTCCAAATTATCCAAACTAAAGGAGTTGCCCAAAAATCCACTCAAATATGATTTACTTTTGCTCAATTCCTTTTCACTGTTCAAAACATTTTGTGTGTGCTCCTTGATATTTTTCTCTTCATATCGTGTTTCGATTTGAGCCTTGGATGCCTTAGCACCCCCGCCACTTCCTCTTGAGGAATATTGGGAAGCGAAATGTGTTATAAAATTGCTGGCTTTTGGTGTTGATGTGGCTACATTGCCTCCAGATTTTTTGGTCTTTGTCACAACAGTTGTGGTGGTACTGGAGGTTTTGCTTTCTGTTACCCCGCCGCCAGTTTGACTTCTAAACTGTTGTTGTTGTTGCTGCTGGGAATTACTAGAAACTGATGTTATAGCCCTTGTATTTGTTGTTTTTGTTTTATTTTCAGGACTATCATCGCTGGAGTAATCTGATGTTTTGATTTTGGTTTGTGTCATTTTGGAGGGACTATTTTTACCACTAGCCTCGACCGATGAAGATGATGTCACTTCCACGGTCTCTTCAATTATGGTTCTGGAAAGAATGAGAAAATAAAGTTAATATTGTTGATTTTCAGGATGGAATATCAAATAATTATATATAATTTCAAATGCTAAACCAATTTTAAATCTCGAAATAAATCTCTGTCATAAGAAAGTCCTCAATTCGGGATGAACGAAGCGGACTGGAAGCAAGGTTGCATTTCTCGTACCTATTGAACCACCACTAGTAATTAGTAACATTAAAGCTTAAGTATAATACTTTACAAAAGAACTGCTGAGTTTTTAAAATAAAACCGATCTCGAAACGTGCTCATAGGGGGAGACAAAATTTTTTTAAAAATTTTATTGAATGAAAGCAAAAACTTTCAGAAATAGCATCAAATTTTAGAATAAGTTTAGTCCTGTTGGAATGTCGAAGGTCTGCAGCCAAAATGATTTCGTGCCCAAGGCTTTAATACACCCTCCAGAATATTTTCGCGATAATATTCGGAATTTATTCGGATTCCACGGCCGTTTAATACGAGCGGAGAGCGACAATGCACATTTTTCACACATTTTCAGCTGACCTCTTTGGCAAGTAAACACGATCATTTTGTTTGTTTGTTTACAAACTGCGGGACAACGAATGTTTTCACATCGGAGAAAACCAAATTCGGCACTTCACCACTTTCGGCCAAGCGAAGCATCTCTTAAGTTCTTTTGAGTCCATTTTCTTAATGTTGCGGTGTAAGTTCTTGCACTTTTTGGAATATTAATGGCTTTACGAGTTCATTTTTCAATATTTGCCGTATGGAATATCACTTTTCGAATCATTTCTGCTGATGTTGCTGTTTTCTTCCGTCCACTGATGTTGCTGTTTTCTTCTGAAGTTAGTTGCGGTTTGTTCATCTCACCCTATATGTTAATCATATTTTTAAGTACACAATATTGAGAATTAAAGAAGCGAGATTACAGCCAGTTCTGTTAAAATTCCTCAAAACACCCGATATTCCATCTATATAGTCAATTCTTTACAAGACATTTTTCTACGCAGTGAGAAATCAAAAAAAAAGTCTTACATTCAACCTCGAAGCAAATTTTCAAATAATTCACAAAAAAATACTTTGCTCTTCGTTTAACGCAGAATAAATATGTAAGAAAAATAAACTATAAATAAATAATTAAAAAAAATACATAAATTATGTGTGTGCGAACGAAATGTATAGAAACATTTTCAAACGTGTTATTTGACCTTGAAATTTTAAAATATGCTGTTTGGAGGGAAAACGGAGACGACGACGACCACAACAATGAAAGTATTCAACACAACATGCTGACGACGTCTATGACATGATAACGATTTCAATAATTATGAGGTGCGGTAGGGTAGTTTCTGGTTGAATGAACAATACTGGTGGATGGCTGGCTTCTGATTTATGTAAGGCCAACAAACTAATGACGGTCAAAATCGACCAGAGGAAAATAAAAAGCAATAAAGTTATAACGTAGAATAAACACCAATGCGGAATTACGTCATGGTTTAAAGGGAACTCGGAATGTTTTAGGGGAGAAAAATAAAAGGTTACGAGAATTAAAATAAGTTTGTGGTCGGCGAAGTTGAACACGCTGCTCCGTACAAGAAATTCCTGATAAAATTAAAACATTGGATTATTAAGAGATGGTATCTAAAAATTCCGTTTTTATGCATAGTAGAACCCCAAAAATGTTCACTGACGGGGACACAATGGGTATACAACTCTGGACATGCAGATAGAAAAGATGAATATCAACTAAACACTCAATAGTTAAACAAATCTCACGGAGTTGGTTTTTATTCTACAAAATTCCTCTGCCAGCAGCCAAAAGATTATAAACGACAATGTTTAAATAATATTTCGTCTAGGACTATCAGAGCTACAAACTTATATTCTGAAAGAATACTTTATCGAAGCCTTTCAATCCATTATCATCGATTACGAGGAATACAGGGTGAGATAAAAAACAGCAACAAAGTAAACTCCATAATTTTTACATTTTTTTTTTTTAATTTTTTTAATGAAAACAAAAGAAGTCGGTAATAGCATCATATTTTAGAATACGGTTTAATTTGCTCGAATTGTTCACCTTTGACACGAATTATGGCCTTTAAACGGCCAATGAAACCGTCACATGCTGTCCGAATGTTGCGATATTTGGCCCATTCCCGGCGAAGCGTTTGCTTGAGGTGATCGACACTTTGGTATTTTTTAATGCCAACTTTGCTTTCCTAAATACTCCAGATACAATAGGCCAACGAATTGGTATCTGGAGATTTTGGTGGCTATTGTGCGCTGGAAATGAAGCGAGGAACCACATTTTGTAACCATTCTTGGAAGGCGCGTGCTGAGTGCAATGGTGCTGAGACTTGTTGAAATGTCCAAGGTCTGCGGGCAAAATGTTTGCCTGCCCAAGGCTTTAATACACCCTCCAGAATATTTTCGAGATAACATTCGGCATTTATTTTCTTGTTTGTTTACAAACTTCTGGACAACGAATGTTTTCTCATCGGAGAAAACCAAATTTGGCAGTTCATTACTTTTGGCCAAGCGAAGCAATTCTTTAGCTCTGAGTCTATGTTCTTTCCGTTGCGGTGTAAGTTCTTGCACTTTTTGCAATTTTAGTGGCTTTACCCCGAGCTCAATTTTCAATATTTGCCGAATGGAATATTGCGATATATTCAGCTCACGTGCCACATAAACGCGGTTTTCTAATTTTTTTAAATTGTGGATTTTTATGAATCTTTTTTGAAAATTCGTTGCCGTTTAATTTTTTTTTCTAGACAAAAATGAATTTTTGCAGGTGGTGATCTCACCAGATATCCGAAGAAGTACTGGGGGAAAGTTGGTGGCCTTACAGTGCATTGACAAGCAGCAAGCTGACGCCAAAGAAAAAAAATAACTGTAAGAGACAAAATCATCAGCATAGGTACCCTCGTCTTGAACTAGGCACATGTACTGCCAATACTCAGCATGCACAGCCCCCACCTCCAGACTTGAGCCAAATAAAAAAGAATCTGCCAGTACATGCCTAATGTGGCTCTGATTCCAAATAGTGCAGCGATAGCTTCAATCATGCGCATTAGCCTACATCTAAAGAAATTGTCTACGAAAAATCAGAATATATGTGGAAAAAAATGTCAGAAATATTTCTCCGTCTAAGGGCTTATCATCGGCGTAGAGGATGGATCAACGGTCTATATTAAGGTAACAATGGTATGTTGAACAAGGATTCCAAGACTGTTATCAGTTCTAAAACTTCCTTTTTCATTTTATTAACCCGGAGACACTTGCTTTTGAGTTTATGATTTAAAGTTTCATGCTCACAAATATTGACCTGCTGATTATTTCAGTGAAAATATATATGATTGTATGTGGAGCATTATGGTACCATCACAGCCATAGGGTTAAGTAACATATAGAAATGTTTACCCACTTATAACATGTTTCCATACTCACGACAAGTCTCACTAATCCGCTCCCACCACACAACATGTGGTGAAGTTACCAAAAAAGATCATCAAAAATGCCTTCCATTAAAAATGTAAACAATTCAAACTACACACTATTCACAATATGACATCATAGTTAATTATGGATAGTGGAGCGGCGGCGAAGCAGGTAACAAAACTGAGTGGTTGTGAACAATTTGGAGATGACCAAATCTAAAAATTGCCCGCCATTCGTGTCGGGGTACAGTGTAAACAAAAACAAACCTTTTTTTCTAATTTTTGTTGATTATTTTGAGCGAAGCTTTGTGTTGACTCACAAAAACTGTACTGTAAATAAAGCAAAATACAAAATTGCGCCAATGTGGGCTTGTACTGGAAGTAGTGGCTGACGAGTGGCTGTGGTGCCTAACAAACATGAACACATCATAGTATATAAAACACAGCAGCAACAACAACCGGTGGCCTGTTAATACCACGTTAACGATATCTAAACATGCGAAATTGGTTTTTGATTAGAGGCAGCAGCAGCCAGCCACCCACCCCGCCTAAAGGTGATTTAAATTGTTTCATTTGATAGAAACATCTCTAGAGGAAGAGGGTACAATCATGTTATATCCAGGCAAACATTTGAAAACTATTTGATAGAAATGTTATTAGTTTTCTAACGTACGAGTTGTTTGGAACAAGTTATGTATAGATTTTGCTGATTGTAATCAATGCCACCAAGCGATGACGTTATTGCTTACGTTATAAACTCAGTTTATTTATTTTCGTTTTGTCACGATATTAGTAAAAAAACACGTTTTTTATTAATTTTTTTTATAAACTGAAAGTAAATAGCTAAAGCTTTGATTCGGGAGGCTATGACCATGTATGTTTATGTCTCGCTCACTGTCAACAGTGAGGTAAACTAGATTTTGTTTATTTTTTAAATTAGATTCAAATATGAAATTATTGAACTAGGTAAGGTTGGCTTAGACAATGAAAAATAACTAAACGGAAATAAATACGAACGAAATAAACGTGTAATACAGTTCAATGATTTTGATTTTTTCATTTCAAAATTAGGCATTTATCGATGGCTAAATGATCTAGCAAGGCCGCATTAGATAGAAGTTTACTATGGAGAATTGATTCAGACAAAGCATTTATCTCCAGATTGACTTTCCACACAACCTTCCCAAGTTGCAATTTTCTGAATTTTGGAAACAGATGCTAGTATATACTATTTAAATATTTGAGTGACTAAAAACGACAATAATCTACGCCAAATGCAGGATGTGATGAAAAAACTGCAACCAACTTCAGACAGCTGTCATTTCCAAACCACTCGTCCGACAGCTGTTAAAATTATTCCAGTGACAGCTCATTATATTGTTTACAAGCGTACAAAAGCATTTTGGTGAGAATTTTCCAGAAAAAAGTTATTCGTGATGGAATTCAAGCGTGATAGTGTGATTTCTTTATATTTGGTTGGAAAACCGCAAGTGGCTTTCGTTAGAGCACTCCAGCATTTAAATGTGAATAAATCTTTTGAGTCTCGTACCATCTCTCGTTACCGTGATACTGGTAGCGTAGCCCGACGTCAAGGAAGTGGATGGAAGAGAACAGCAACATCAGCAGAAATGGTTCGAAAAGTAAAGAAGCGACTTGATCGAATACCGCGCCTGTGAGCTGAACATATAGCAATATTCCATTCGAAAAAATATTAAAAAATGAGCTCGGGGTAAAACCACTGAAATAGCAAAAATTTCAAGAACTTACCCGCAACAAACAGAATATATAGTCAAAAGAGCTAAGGAGTTGCTTCGCTTGACCGAAAGTGGTAAACTGCCGAGTTTGGTTTTCTCCGATGAGATAACATACGTTGTCTAGCAGTTTGTAAACAAACGAAATGATCGCGGTTACTTGCCAAAGAGATCAGCTGAAAATGTGAAACTTCGGTTGGCAACCAGAACTCAAGCGCCGGCCATGGTGATGGTGTGGGTCGTCATAACAGCCGATTGTCGCTCTCCGCTCGTATTAATCGAAAGTGGCATCAAAATAAATGCCGAATATTATCGCGACAATATTCTGGAAGGTGTATTAAAGCCTTGGGCACGCAAACATTTTGGCCGCAGACCTTGGACATTCCAACAGGACTCAGCATACCACTAAAAAATACCAAAGTGTCGATCACCTCAAGCAAGCGCTTCGCCGGGAATGGGCAAAAATGCCGTGAAAAAGAATTAGCTGGAAATGAGGCTCGCGATGGATTGCCCAATAAAATCCAAGTATTTTTTAACAAACATTCACTTTAATAGCACTTGAAGACCTCCAGAAAATATACTGATAGCTTTTCAGTTTTTTTTTAATATCCACGTTAATATCGCAAGAAAATATCATTTTCTCCGTTTATAGGTCTGATAGTCCTTGATAGTCGTTCGGAATTTGTTTTTAACAAAAGCTCTGCAAGTTTTTGCAAATTATTATAAAAATCTACTTTAATCGCTTTAGGGAAATTCTCAAAATCCAATTTTAAAGTTCAGAGGGTACTTCAGAAAGTGTTCTTTCAAAAAATCAACGTTTAAAGTTCCGATAGTCCTTCGGAAAATATTCTTACACAAAACCCACGTTTAAAGTTCTGATAGTCCCTCAGAAAATGTTCTTTAAAATATTCATGTTCAAAAGTTCTGATAGTCCCTCAGAAAATGTTCTTTAAAATATCCACGTTTAAAGTTCTGATAGTCCTTCAGAAAATTTTCTTTATAAAATCCACGTTTAAAAGATAGCTGTGATAGTCTTTCAGAAAATATTCTTAGCAAATTCCTAATTATAACTCTGATATTCCTTTAGAAAATATTCTTAAAAATCCCCGATTGTAGCTAAGTTTAGTGATCATCCTGCAGAAAATATTCTTCAAAAGTCCTTGTTTGTAGGTCACAATTATATATTTTAAATACTTTCTCATTTCATCCCAATTCAATATAGTTCTTCAGATTTTAGAATCGAATACATTCTATCACCTAAGTTGTATTTATCTTGAGGCATATCATACTACAATCCAAATAATCCAACAAATTCAATAAAATTGTTTAATATCTTTGCCCATTCTCTTCATTCGCTGTAGTTTGTTTTTTCTAAATAAGTTTAATCCCCCAAACAGGTATGCTGTCATGAGGAAATCACTTAATATAGCTATTACTCAAATCTATGAGAAAAATATTTTTTTTTTTTTTTAAATATTCGTATTATTTTAAGACCAAATACTCACCGAACATTTGGTAATTGTGATGTCGTGGACTTCTTTTTGTGATGATGTGTATGTGGCTCATCACCAATGTGATCACAATTTTCGTGGTCACAACTGGAACGTAAAAATGGGGTTTTTGATCGAGACCTACGTCTCGTTTCCATGGTATGTTCACTCATGTCTTACCCGATGTAAATGTTACCTTCTTGTTTTCTTTCCGGTGGCCAAAAAATCTGTAAATATCAAGAAAAAGTTATTATTTAGACGAGAAATTCAAAAACTAAACATAAAATTGTAAACAAATTATTACGAGTTACGCCACGAAGTAACGTAAATAAGTAAGATAAACATTGCGAGCGAGTTCATTTTGTAACATTGATATGAAGAATACCAAGTTTGTATGAAAGATATGAGTTGTTGATAGACAAAGACCTTGAGACATGATTAGAGAAGACCACTACATAGATGGGTACTAACTCATTAGTATGTAATGGGTGTTGTAATTAGCCAAGCATGTTAATGGAATTTTTAATGAAAAACAAGGAAGAATAGATAATAAATGAGCAAGAAAATGAACCTTTTAGAATAGGGTTTGCAATTTCTACATTCGAAAAACTAGACACAATTAATTGAAGGGACATAATGAGATAAGGCCTTGCACTTTCATGAATTCCTTTTTTTTCTGTGGACACAATATTCTCGTTATTTTTACTTCTGGAAATTAGATTTCTCTCTCAAACATATATTATCGATGAGTTGTCGCACAAAACACACCTTAATTCATTGGAGTTTTCAAACTAAAGTAACAAATTTAAAGGTGCTAATTTAAAGAACTAACATCGATCCATCCCAATTTAGAAATCAAACAACAATTAAGAAACTATATTACCACATGGTACTCATTTAAAGCACTCTTCGCCGAGTAAATCAAATAAAATGTAATAAACATCATTTTGACTGTATTTGTTTTGTTAGACTAAAACGAAGAGCCAAACTTCAAGTCTATAATGGAAATCAAATAAAATTTCTTAAAAGTACGAAGGTCGGTAACGGTAAATAAAGCAAAAAAAGGCTGAATCATTTGAATCTGAAGATGATGATAATAAACATCATCGACCTAATTGATACAACAACGATGTGTATCGACAATTTTCCCGCCCAACTGTTTACAACACATTGCCTTTGTCATATGTACGTATGTCTTCCGCCTTTCCAAGCTGTTTTATGATTCACCACAGAAATGTGTTTTTGTGCTCAATTCCTCTTACCCGCTAAATTCCACAACATGTGCTGGACGGAGGTACAACTGATATTTAAATTCCCACCGTTTTCTTTTGAAGCTACGCAGATACTCAATCTTATTTTAAATACTGTGGATTAATCAACATTAAAGGGCAAAAATGCTAATATATTTCATAAAGGGTAGTGGCGTCCGACAAAGCTTTAATATAAATGACAAATTGTTATTAAAAACCAGATCGGAAAAAAATGTCGGACAAAGGCTTAATTAGCTAAAGACAGCTGGAGCATTCAAATACTGGAGAAAAATGTGTGCTAAGAGACAGGCGAGCATTTTATCGAAAAGCAAATAACAGTAGCGTTAGGTTCAACTGGTCCAAGATTTTTATGCCATCCGCCATGAGGTTGATGGTGGATTTTGCTGTCAATAAAAAACCGACTTCTCGTTCGTTTCGATGTTTGCTCCCCATCCCAAAGTCAAGTAATTTCAATGTCCGATTTTGTAATCTGAAAATCTTTTGGTATATATTTTCAAAGGAGTAGAAAGTCAGAAAGAAGAAGGTACCCTTTCATGGAAACGATACCATTTTTGGGGAAATAGACCTACTTTAAATATTAATTAAAAGTAGTTGACATTATTTACTGAAGACGCGCAATGCCAAATGTTAGCTAATTTTGTTAAACATTGAGGCAGAAAATTTCAAGGTATTGTTATTTGGGCACTATATAGTGGTCTTACTTTTAATATTTTTTGAATAATGTTCAAATACATACTAAGAACCAAAATTTTGAAATAACAGCTGGAAATTTGAGTCATAACCTTTAAAATAATAAATCGACATTAAATTATACGTTGACCATAAATATGCTTTAAATTTTTCGAGAATATTTCGCGGTGTTGCAAACGGGATATACCATCCATTTTAGGTACAAAAAGTAAAAAAGCTGTAAGTTCGGCCGGAACGAACTTTGAATAATCTCCACCATTTGGAACGACACAGACAATTTTCTGTTTGAGCCTGTAGTATCCATTTCGAACTTCAAATACCAAATTTGAAAAAATTCCGGCGAATAATGTCGCTAAAATCATCAAAATAACGAATATCGGGAGTTCCCGTTATATGGGGCCTATACCAAAACGTGGACCTACGTGACCCAATTTTCAATACCAAAAATTCTGCAGACATAATATATATTTGAGTAAAATTTTATTAATCTACTTCAATTCGTTCGGAAGCTAGAGTGATTTCCACAGACGGATAGACGGCCAGATGGACATCGCTAAATCGACATTTAATGCTGATCAAGAATATATATACATTGTGGGGTCTTAAATTTATATTTCGACGAGTTACAAACGGAATGACAAACTTAATATATCCTCTATACTATGGTGGAGGGTATAAAAATGCTAAATTGATCGAAATTTTGATTGAAATCTTTAAAATATTGGATACTGGGTGGTACGGTTAAATGGGGACTAAAGAAACGACATTGAAGATTGAAGAAAACATTTTAAGAACAATGGTTCAACGAAAGACCAATAGACCAACAAACGTTAATTTTTTAACTATTTTTTTTTTTAAGACCAAGTGGACGATGGTCTATGCGATGTGTATATTTTTTTATTTTTTTGCTCGTCAAGACTCAAATTCCGCTACATATTAATATTCTATTAACGAAATACCTATATTTCATTCGCAATTCCACGTCATTATTGAAAAACAGGGAATTTTCCTTCCTACCAAATACGTCATGCATTACAAACATTTGGCCCAAAAAATCGAAATCTACCTCAAGCGTCTTAGTTATGCAATTGATATTTTCTTCTTCTGCTGCTGATGATGAGAAAATTTAGCACAACCCAAATAATTAAAATAGACAACGAGACAAAATTGAACAAACAGAAAAAAAACAAGCATACTTAATGTGTGTAAACATAACCGATGTGCAAAAAATATACCAAGGCAAACGAAGAAAAAACAAACAGATCAACTTGAATAAAAATTCTCTGCAGGGATCGCCAAAAGGCAAAAATCAAGGCATCCAGCCAAAACTAAACAAAACCAAAGCGAGAAAAACAGGAACAAATTGGGCTAAGAGAATTTATGTTGACTTAGAACATGTTAGAAATAAACAAAAAAACAGAGGAAATCATTAAAGTCTCAATAAGAAAAAAAATAAACCCAACAAAATAAAAATCGAAATAAGCACAATTTTGTCAACTAAATATAGACGGTAGAATTCGAAAGTTTTCACCTAGTCGATTTTGCTTACATATAGACATTGACGTCAAACATACATTCATACATATGCTCGTTCATATCTCTGTGTTTGCGTGAAACATCGCGAAATAAAAACATACTTTTTTCCTCACTAGTGGATTAGTCAGCCAAAAATGAGAAGCAACAAAGAAAATTGTTTTTCGATCGAAATATTCGCAAACGTTTTGTTCTCATGAAGCAAGTCACACGATGTGATAAAGAAGCAAATGCAAAACAAACATATTTTTGTTTAATCCAAAGCAACAACTGTACTTGAAAACAAAATGTTCGATATATGAAAAGTGAAAAATAAAATTAAATATAAATTTTGTAATATTGTTGAAGGTTGTAACGGCCAATAACGACCTCACACAGTTCATTTATGTCTTTCTAGAAAACCTTATGTATACACTCAAAAATTATTATCATATAAGTTATACTCAAAATCGCTAAAATTTGGAAGCTACTTTATATATGCGATAAATGTATATTGAATATTTTTGCGACTAGTAAAAAAAAAAATTATTAATTGGAAATTGTGACCGAGACCCTCCCTCAAAATCAGAGGGCGAAAATATTCCATTTTCAAAAACTAATATCTTACAAATAAAACCAAAGTATGTGAAAAATTACGATGATTTCCAATGTATTCTTTAATACTGAAGTCTCCAAGTGATACAAACGGAATGACAAATTTAATGGTGGGCCTCCAAGGCGTCTCCCACGAATATTTCGGGTGTTACAAACGGAATGAAAAATTTAATGGTGGGGTTGGGTTTCCGATATTTTAAATCAATGAAAGTCGTAAAATGTTTAAATAAAACTTTTAAAATATTGGTAGGAACTATACGACCTTCGGCGAAAAACGGACATTCATAAGCCCACGATACCCAGGCCAAAAAATTTGGCGTCGAGAACGGAATTCTCTGTTAAGGACTCTCACGCAAATCCTATAGAATCATTATTTATCATCCTAACCTTATCTAGCAGACATCAAGGAAGCTAAAACAATAAGGGGTTAACCCGATAAATTAAATTGTGCAATTTACTGGAAGAGACTCTAAATGAAATCAGAAAGGAAGGTGATTCAGAAACTCGGGAGCAACCTTTCCAATGAAATACCAGCAAATAGCGAGAGGGGTCAAGTTCCTCCTGGAACGCCGTTATGATAAACTCTCTTCGACACACACCAATATTAAGATATTTCGGAAGTTTATAGATATAGCGTAAAAAATAGTTGGGTCTTAGCCTTAACCCTAGTTTAGTAAAAACTCTACAATTTTTTTCCAGGGGAATGTATTTTTATCCTGATTCCGGGAAACTATTTTTTGCTTGGAGGACGGACCCGGGACCTAAGATTTTTGACCTGAAAGTCCGTGTATAAGACCAGGGCTAGACCCGAATCTATATGCCTATATACAATATAGGTATCGTTGGAAAAATATCTATGCAACAAGTGGTCTCATTTGGACCCGGATTTTTATAAAACCCCCAAAAAGTCGAAAAAGGGCCCATTAGGGGGTAAACAAAATTGATGCCAAATTATATCAGACACACCTACCGTTCCAAAATGCTACAATTTGTGCTAATATCTTTTCTGGGTCCCGAGATATTCTTTTCTTCGTTACCCCTGGAAGTAGGAATATTATCCAACATGAATTTGTACCGCTTGATGTTCAAAAAAATAACATTCATTGCATGCCTGTTTTTGCCGATCCAGTGGTGTTTCTGCTCCTCACTAAAATAAGCATTCATAGTAACGGAGGAGTAAATTAAGAAGTCGTATTTCTTTTATTTTAATTTTTAACATTTCCTCGAACTTCCTTTGGGAATTATATACAGCTTAAGAATAAGGAAAATGTTTCATCTTTAACTGTCGCAATAGTTTAACAACTTATATAAAATATGGGCGACGAAGGTGGAAGTAAACGGGTTGTTTACCAAGTACCTCCATTAAGCACATTCCTAGCGCTAGTATATGTACACACGCTATGTATTTCATTTTCAAGGATTTCACAATGTATATATTTCTATTTTGCTTGCAAAACGCTTCGAATTAGCATTACAAATTTCTAAGTGCTGACTTTTTGCAAAGCGCACACCTTGACTTTTCCTCTGTGAATACCTCAATGACAATTGGCAACACTAAATGCTGCTCTGCTCAGCTCTCTCTCTCTCTCCTTATTACAAGCCACCCGGCCAGACGACATTCCTTGAACACACATGTTCATTACTATCCAACAACAAACAAACCAGACAAGACAAAAAAGAAAAACAAACAAGGCAGACACAACAATAAAGGGGGGAATTGGAAATTTTACACGCTGGAGGTCCGCACATGACGCTGACAGTTGTAAAAACAAATCTTAAATTTTCCAAGCGAATAACATAAACAAACAAAATGCTATTGGCTGGCTCAAACTTGTTTTCCTACATTCTTTCATATTTTGCCTGCCACTCAAAATAGGACGCGCTCAGTCAAACAAATGCATGGCGGCGGCAGTTGGCTATTAGAAATACAAACGGCGCACAAACACACTCACACACACCCAAGCGCAAACAAATGAATGCAACAAACAAGCAAACACACAATACGGCAATAAATATATACAATAATTTTTCCTTCTTTTAATTACAACAAAAACAACATAGCGGCGTCGAGACATGGTATACGAAGAAGAAAAAAGTGAAGCACTAAAAATGCGGTCATCAATGTTTTTTGGAGAGTAAGTAGATTTTGATTATCACAATTGATAAACTTTTAAATACCACCTACTTTTTTCAATACAATAATTATGTTGTAGTGTGTTTCTTTTTTGAAAGCAACACTTTTTATATTTTTCTTATCCAGTACTTATTCTATGAAGTTTTTCTTTTCAATTCTTTTACTTTTTTGCACATGAACTGCGCTTCTTTTTCACAAATATTTTCTTAAATATTCTTCTACACTTTGAAAGCTTTTATTTTCCGTTTCTTATTTGAATTAGTCATCAACTATTCTGTTTTATAAATTTTATTTTCTTTTGCACATTTAATTGTATTTCCTTTATTTCTTATTGAAAACACACGCGCAACTCATACACTTGGGGAGTACAGCCAGACACGTCCGTTCAATTTAATTGAAAATATGCGAATGAATGTGACTAGGGATAACAAGGTCGTCTTTGATCTAATCGATATTATGGTAGATGGAATAATCGATTATTTTTTTATTGAGTTAATGTGGTCGCATCGAGAATAGGAATGTCTGCTTACCATATCAATTACAGAAAAATATTTTTTGTAATTATTTAACAGTGCGGAAAATGGATTATATGCCTGGATTTAAGGAAACTGTACAAAAAGATTTAATCATTCAATTCTATAGCAAGTCTTTTTTAAATAGTTTATGGGTTTTTTATGGTGTTTACACATTCCGGTCTCGAATCTAAGTTGTACTTTACTTCAACGATTTTACGATGGTAGAAGAATACAGGAGAATGCATTAACACTTGGAAACAATTATATATCAAACATTTTAAAATGTTTCTTTAAATATAAGAAAATTTTTATTTGTATTCTTATTCGACGTCAAACGGAGGTTATTACAAATTTGAATAATATTTTCTTCAACATAGTCAATTCCAATTTTTTGTCCCAGCAGCTGCGTTAATGCTGCTACCTGTATTCTTCTACATGATCTATTCCAGCACTGCAAAAATGAATGATGATGAAAGTTTTTACTACGATAACCGACTTTCAATGTATGTTATCGAGGAAATTTGCAAAATTGGTAGAATCTTGCTGTTACTGGAACAGAGCAATGTGTAAATAAGGCTTCCCTCTTTTTGCTAACTATTGGTCTGTTCCAGAACTGCAAGAATTTAAAAGTTTTTAGTACGATAACCAATTATCCCTTTATGATATCGAAAAAATTGCAAACCTATTAGGTACTTGCAGGTTCTGGAACAAACCAAATTTCTGGCATTGTGAACAAGTTATGAAGAAAAGCAATATAAACCAATACTAAATAAATAAAATTCAGAAATTTTGTTTCAAATTAATTTTTAACGAAAATAATTTAATTTTAATCGAAAAACTGATTTAATTTAAAATAATGTTTAAATTAATTTTTTTTACAATAGGTTCATGCCTGGTATAATTTGCTCTGTTACAAAATCTACCTTTTTTCGATATCATAAAGCAAAAACTTTAACATTCTTGAAGTTCTGGAAAAACTTATTTTAACAAGTTTTGTCGGTAACTCAAAAAATGGGTTGGACAATCTCATTATTATTTGGTATGTTCCAGAACTGCAAACATTTCAAAGTTTTTACTACGATAACAGATTTTTACTTTTGATATCTAGATTCTTGCAGGTACTGGAATAGAGTAATTGTGCTCCGCAACGTAAAAGTTTCAACTATTACTTTTACACGTTGTGTTCAATTCACTTTAAATAAATGGCGCTCCTTTCTTCTATTTGTATGTTCTCTTCAACAACTTTTTACATCACGACAAGTCAAAGTAGAAAATCTGACACAGGCATTTCATTCAGTTCTATTCATAACAAAACAACAAATGGTCTGTTCCAGAACTGCAAGAATGTAAAAGTTTTGATCGAAAAAAAATACAAACGTAGTAAATTCTTGCAGGTTCTGAAACAGATCAAAGTTTTATCAAAATGGAACAGAGCATATATTATCCATGATAGAATTAAGAAGGAAATGTCATGGATTCATATTCATTTGACAACACCTCATTTTTAGAAAAGTATTTTTAAAAATCCATTGTACATACACAAAGCAGAGATGGAAGCCCGTTTGCATGTAGTTCAATTTGACAAAGTAAATTACAGTAAATTATATTTATCAGCTGTATGCAGGCATTGTTGTTTTTGTCTTCTTAATTTTACATTTCTGTACTGTGTTGCTACTTTCACCACTAAAATAGCACCGGAATGGAGCTATCCTTAGCACTCATTATAATAAATGCCTTCAGTGTAAACGTAGGGTAAATATGTCAAGTGCTATATTTCTTAGCATACTTTGCGGCGCACAGTTTTGAATGTTAGGACTTTTAAAAAGAATATTTTCAAACTATATGTTACATGGTTTTTTATAATTTTTTATATATTGTATGTGAAATAAAAAGAAACCTCTGTTATTTTCTTTATGCATTTATTTCATTATATACTGAAGTATGTTGTTTAATATATATACGATAGTTCACTACATGTTTATTACAAACTTTTGCACCAAAAACTCTATGCTTCTTAAATATGTATTAGAATACATACTTTTCAATTTGTAGTATTCTTATCTGGTCAAAATTGTAAAATATTTCAATTCAATAACAAAAATAAATAAAACAAACACAAGATAACTTGAGAAATAGATTCAAAACTTTATAATTCTTAAAAAAGAGAAAAGGTGGTGGTGGTGACAGTTGGAGCAACACAGCAACCTCTTCAGATTTTAGTTAAGGACAAAAATATGACAATAGGAGCACAGCATTGAAATCAAGAATAGCGATAAGCTATTTCAATACAAGTTTGGTGTTTTGCAATAAATTATAGTTTGGAAAGAAATATCAGATCGACTTTATAAGTACAAAGAGAATATCAGGAAACTTGGATTTATAAAGCGATAATTAATCACTACAATAATAGTTGTTGTTCGTTCTTCTCAAATCGTTTACTTGTGCAAAGCAGCAGTATCCAATTTGGGTTCTGGTTTCTTGGCCATTCCGGACAAGAGTTTCTTGATTTCGGCAATAGCACGACCTGGATTCAAACCCTTGGGACAGGTGCGTGTGCAGTTCATGATGGTGTGGCAACGGTACACACTGAAGGGATCCTTAAGCTTGTCCAAACGTTCGTGGGTGCTTTCATCACGAGAATCAATGATCCAACGGTAGGCCTGCATGAGGACAGCTGGGCCCAAGTATTTCTCGGCATTCCACCAGTATGATGGGCATGAAGTCGAGCAACAGGCACACAAAATACATTCATACAAACCGTCCAATTTGGAACGATCTTCAACGGATTGCAAATATTGGGCCTTGCCCTTCTTCTCGCTGGCTTCGTTTCTAAAAAAAGAAAGGAAGATTTTTATTGTTTAGTTGTGGAATTGAAATAGATTTTGTTATGAGTAACTTACTTGCGTTGCAACCAGGGTTGAATGGATCTGTACTGTTCATAGAAATGATTCATGTCGGGTACCAAATCACGTACAACATACATGTGAGGCAAAGGATAAACCTTCAAAGGCTTTGATGTATTGGTATCGATTTTGCTGAAAAAAGAAAGAAAAAACGTGGAAGAAATTATATGAAATATAAGAGAAATAAGAATCAGTCCGTTAAGTCAAAAGGTTAATATTCTCAGTCCTGGGCCTTCTAAATCATTTGCAAAATGAGGCTATTTTTAAAAATCGTTCCTCCTTTCTGAGTAGCCACTAAATGAGCAGAAAAGTTGGGTTTTCTTCTGCTGAGGACTTTTGGAGGCGCCTTAATAAAGGTTCGCTATTTTCAGTCATTGAACTAGGCATGGGTTTAATAAAATGAACATCTTTGTAACTGGAAGAACCTCTTTGGGGAAGATCATATGTTTACGATTTATGTGTTTATTTCTCTTTCGAGATGAGCTTAATGATGTGAAAATGTGAAAAACTTGTGGTCGAATAATGTAGTCCAAAATTAATATCCTTCACACGATACGAAGTTGACATTTCTCTTAAATTGTTGGACGAAACCGATATTTTTAAAATTTGTCGTTTGTGTGGGATTTCCAGCCAAAATTCTGACTTGACCTAAATAACGCAAATATAATGATGTGCTTGATATAAATATTGACAATTTATCACACATTTGACCCCTAAAAGAACTTGTTCGAAGTCCGCAAACTTTTAAACGATGTGCCAAATTCGGAACGAAAATTTCCCTTGTTGATTTTTATTAATAATTTCTTTGCTTGATTTTCAGGAAATTTCTTTGTCCATTTTCACATTTCCCAGAAGGGAATGCCTTAGATTTACAGATGCTGTTTAAAACCTGCCTGATAATAAACAAAACTATAAATAAGAAATTATTTAATATTTTTATTTACTTTCTAATCACCTGATAATCATCATCGCTACTTGCCGAACTTGACTTTCCTATGCTCCAAAAAGTTGCCTTAAATAACAACAATAATGAGCCATACTGTTGCTTTTATCTATGTTCTTAATCTATATTTTTATAATGCTTTGCCCTTTCATGGTCCTCTTGTGTGTATGTAGACAGCGATATGTCTGCTCAATATCACAATAAAATGCATAGGTGTAACAACAACAACTTCATAAAATATTAGATCTCTCAAATGTAGCTAAAAAGTTTAAATTGAAAAAACCATAACCAATCGAATGCATTTCTACCTGTTTCTACAAGACAACACTTATCCAAACTAGTTCTAAAAGATCGATCCCTTCTTTACATATCCATAAATTAGTGCCCTCACAGCATGGGATCGTTCTGAAAACCAAACTTTAATAATTAGCAACATTTGTTTAATGCCATGATGTAGGAAAAGAAACCATTTTCATTTCTTATAATGTCACCACCACACTTCTTACCTGATGCAAGCCAATGTATTGGTGCCAGCAATGTTCATGGCACATGAACCACAAATACCCTCACGACATGAGCGACGGAAAGTCAAAGTGGGATCCATTTCATTTTTGATTTTGATCAAGGCGTCCAAGACCATGGGACCGCATTCACGCAAATTAACCTGATATGTTTGCATGTAGGGCTTCTCGCCAGCATTATCGGGATTCCAGCGATAGATTTGGAAAGTTTTGATTTGGGGTTCAGGTGCCGATTTAGCTTCAGCCTGCTGGTTATTTTGTTGGGTGCCCGAGGTGAGGGAACGCAACTGCAAAAAATACGTGAAAAAACACACATTAGCATTTACACTGCATAAACAAAACTATGACACTCAATAATATATGCAATGGAAAATTTTGCCTCGTGAGGCACGCGAATTTTCAAAAAATTTGCTGCGCTTATGGTTTACATAACACATTTATTAGCCAATATCTTGCCGTAGAAATTTACTTTTTACGACCAGCTTCATTATTTTTCTTCTATTGACAAAGAAAATTATGAAACTCTTTTTCACAACTTTATCATTTTCCCACTTATGTAAGACACATTGTTCTATGGCTGGGTGGGCAATCATAGTACCCCCACCGCCACAAATCATTTGGAAATTAGCCGTGTTTCTGCCATACCTGCTGACGTGCGGCCACAGCACCAGTACGGCTCAACATTAAACGGGCTTCGTTCACCAACATCTTGTGTCAATAATGATGGGGCACCTGTATCACTTGATTTTTGTAATCAATACAAAAAAAATTGAAACGTCACTGCGTTTGCAATTTGAAATCGGCTAAAATAAAAGAATTTCTTTTATCTGAAATGTTCCCTCTCGGAACTTTTTTGACTTGTTTATTGGGAAACTCTCGCAGCAGACTGAAAAAAGAAACATGCGCTCTCAATGCTTTCCAGCTGATGGCTGTCAATATACAGTAAGGGCATTGCCAGATGCAAAAATTAGAGCGACCTAATTGAAATGCGTCACTTGGTATCTGTTAATTGAAGCCGATTTTCAATGGACAATTTGTTTTTTAATATTTTAATAGAAATTGAAAGGGCTCATGGTTTCGAAAAATACAATTCGCGTTTGGAGTAGAACAAAATTTGTGTATTGGAGAAGATGGTTCAATCACTGGGTGGTTAAAATATCGATTAATGTTCTTTATACTTGATCTACACTGTCAATACATGGAGACTTTAAATTTGAGCCTATTTTGTTGGAAATAGTGACATAAAGCTTCGGAATACCTAAAATTAGGGGATACTGTTGTATGGGGTTTAAATAAAAAAGTGGAACCTATATTGAATATTTTTTGCGAGGAGAAAAACTGCCTACTGAGTCGCCTAAATGCCACATTATAGTTGATTCGGTTGAAAATCAGCCTAAAAACTTAAAAATACGAAAAGTCTGTAGGTACCATCATACATCTAAATATGGATATACACTGAATGTTTTATTACAGAAATAAAACTACTCACTGAGAAACCGAAACGCTATCCTAAATAGCTTCAGCTCGATTGAAATTTGGAAAGAGGGACACGGCTACAACGTGGGGTTATTCGACTATTATTCCGAGGTTTGCCAAATGGAATTATACATTTAAGATAAGCCCCATTTTATTTTGGAGGCTATACAGATGGAACCTCAATTACCAAATCATAGCTAGTTCCGTTTAAAGATGGTCTATAACTTCAAAAGACCTAAAAACTACATAAACTGTTTGGAGAACCAATTTCGATCTCCTTGCTGTCTTACAAAATTTGAATCCCAAATACAAAAATATAGTTGATTTCTTTGCAAAATATAGTCAAACCCCTAAAAGCGGTACCCTAAAATTGGAGGTAGTAACCAAACGTGGACTGTAAAGTGTTGGAGAACTTAATGAACACCCCAAATTAAACACCATTACGGAGACATGGTCTGTTCCAGAACTGCGGGAATTCAAACATTTTTAATACGATAACCGATTTTTCCTTCATGACATCGAAAAATATCGCAAAACTTATAGATTTTTGAGGGTTCTGAAATAAAACCAATGACTCCATTCCTCTTCAATGGGTTTGATTCCTGATACACAAATAAATTTCAATCTATGTGTGGAGTAACACGACCGCTAGAAATGGAACAGTCTACATTTTGTGAAAGTTCAATTTGTTCCATATATAACATTGTATATAGGTTTGTATTCATGGATTTATATTAAATTAAACATTTTATTTGTTAATTATTTTATTATTAACTTTTCCTTTTTTTAAATTCCGATTTTAGGTCAACGTTCTTTATGTTTTTGTTTGACTTATACTATATGTTTTTTGTTTATTAAATTGCTAATAAGTTTATTTGCACTTTATTACAAAATATCGCTTGATTGGTTTTCGATCACAACTGGATAGACATGATTCGTATTATATGGGGCATTGGGTCAATGCCAGTTTAAAACAAAACATTAAGAACATCCCAAACAATCGACCAGTCTCAAATTGAGTTTGAAAGTGGAAGTACAAAGCAATTAGAAGAAACACAACACACTTTATATTGTTCCATTTGCTGTTCAAATGAAATAAATTCGAAAATACAACAAAAAAAAAAAAAAAGATTAAAACCATGGTGGCAAATTCTGAACGAAATGGTATTCCCTCAGATCAATGTATACAAAACGGTAAGAACGAGTTCAATGGAATAATAAGAAATGTTTTGACAGCTACAAAGTTTGAAAAATTTCAATTTCTTTTTATACCTTTCACCTTGAAAAGGTATCATTCCGTTTGTAACATCCCCAAAAATTCGTCGTATTCATATATATTTATAATCAAAAATTCTAAGCCGATTTTACGATGTCCGTCTGTCTGTTGAAGTCACGATACCGTTACATTATTTAACGTAGGGCTTCAAAATTCGGCAGAACAATTTTTATTATACATTCCACCATAGTATGGAGGGTATATTAAGTTTGTCATTCCGTTTGTAACACCTCGAAATATACATTTATGCATTTTATATTCTTGATTAGCATAAAATTCTATGTCGTTATAGCGATGTCCGTCTGTCCGTGTGTGGAAATCACTCTAGCTTCCGAACGAATTGAAGTAGATTGATAAAATTTTACTCAAATGTATATTATGTCTGCAGGACTTTTGGTATTGAAAATGGGCCATGTAGGTCCACGTTTTGGTGTAGCCCCCACATAAAGGCACCTCCCGATATTCGGTATTTTGATGATTTTTGCGCCAATATTCATCGGAATTGTTTTAAATTTCGTATTTGAAGTTTGAAATGAATACTACAGCCTATGATAGAAAATTGTCTGTGCAGGTTCTCGTCTTCGTATAGCCCCCATATAACTGTACCTCCCGATATTCGGTACTTTGTTGATTTTAGCTACATTATTCATCGGTATTTGATGTTCGCAGTGGATACTACAACCTATGATAGAAAATTGTCTGTGCAGGTTCTCGTCTTCGTATAGCCCCCATATAACTGTACCTCCCGATATTCGGTACTTTGTTGATTTTAGCTACATTATTCGCCGATTTTTTTTGTTAAGTTTCGCATTTGAATATTGTAATGGCTTATGACAAAAGTTCCCTATCGTCGTCGTATAGACCCTAATGTAACAGCTTCATTCGGTATTTTTAAGATTTTAGGAGAATTTTTAACGGATATTTTTGTTTTTGAGAATTGCCAAATTCGTTCCAAATGGTCAAGGGTATTCAAAGTTCGGCCCGTCCGAACTTACAGCTTTTTTACTTGTTGTGTCTGGGATGGTTGGTATTAAAGATGAGATATAGAGTACAAGTACAAAATTGCCTTAATAGGTGCTTGTTTTGGTATGGCCTCCATATAACGGACACACCCAATTTATGGTTTTTTGAAAAAAGTTTAATAGCATTATCCAAATGGTCTTAGTGGTATTTGTAGTTTAAAGCGCAACACGTTTGAATTCAGATACATTCATATCAAAATTTTTTCTTTGCCCAATGGCAGAGGGTATTGGAATTTCGGTCCGGCCGAACTTAACGTTTTTTTTACTTGTTTAACCTTATTTCAAATCAATTTTTTCTAATGGCTGGTAGAGATTTATTGACATTCATGAGATCATTACAACTTTCACTTTTTATGTGACATTCGAGTGTATTAATTAGCTTTTTAATGTTTATTTATTCATTTATTATTGAGTATCTGTGCAAATAACTCAAAATCATGTGGTTGGGTGCAGATTTATGTGATTTGCAATTATCCAGCCACAAATAATAATGGTCCATTCATAATTTCTAACATTTATATTTACCCTTTTTTTAGGTACTGTTCCGCCAAGAAATTATGACGCAGAACTGCATTTGGTACGCCACAAATTGGAGGCTTTCCATTCGAATCTATTGGATGAGGTTCAGCAACGTATGTCTGATATTGTGAATGATTTGGAGAAGGACCTGCGGCAGCATGAATTACAAATTCGTGAATTTCAAAATCCTATTACAACTGTAACTGGTACCAATCCCATTTTGGAATTTCATGAAAATAACAAAGATTCCTATGAAGAGCGCTACAGCGATAGAAGGCGAAAAGACGCTAATCGGATGAGTGGTAAATCGAGAGAGGAGCAAAACAAACAATTTCTAAAGAAATTTCCGGAAAAAGTTTTCCAAAGTCGCGAATCGTATTTGACAACCCTAATGCAAGTTGGGCATATCCGAACAATTTATAACATTTTCATAGTAGGCTTTGTTTTCTATCTGATACAAAATGTACTTTTGGAATATTTGGCTAATGGCAGGTGAGTAATGAGATGATAACTTATTAAATTTGGAAGATCTGGGTTAAGAAGAACGTCAAATTAAAAAAAAAAAAAACACAAGAAGAGTTGGATAATTATTTTAGGGGATTTTATCTGTTATGAATAATCGCTCGTTTTTTTAGGTAAAAGGAAAAAGTTGTCTGTTTCAAATGAAAAGCCATAACTTTAAGCTGCAGCACGTAGAAAGATCATGGAGGTTGCCTACTCTGGATTATATTGTTGAAGATATAGAAAGATCATGGAGGTTGCCTACTCTGGATTATATTGTTGAAGTATGATGAATTTTTCTTTTGTTGGCAAAGTTATTGTGGATATTGAGAATGCTGCTGAAAGCGTTTAATGATTGTCCGGTGACTGTGGTGTGTGATTAAAGACAGGCCAGAACGGTAAATCTAGTCCCCATGTTCTCCTAACAATTACACGAATGCAGCAAAAAACAATGTTTTGTTCCCTCCTCCATATGAAAATTTTATTCATGTCCGAATCGACCACTTTTAAAATCCCTTAAATGTAAAACTATAGTTTCAGTGAAATGTTAAACTTTCCGCTGAGACACCTGAACCTTAATTTAAATTTAATTTACAATCTGCTCGATCGTCGTGACCATTTCTTGGCAGACTTTGTCCTGCCTTTCTGTATTTTCACCCTGCGCTAGATGGAGATGCCGTAGTCGCATTTGGACTCGGCAAAGACAGTTTGGAGCATTTTGAGGCAGACGTCTACTTGGTTTGCCTCCTACAGACTATTTCAGGATCTGCGGTTCTCCAAACATCGTCGAAGCCTTGCCTTACTTCGAATTCGGATGGTTGTTTTCCTGCTGCTCTGTAAATGGGGATCCTGCTGTAGTCGGAATAGTTCCTTTTGAACTACGTAACAAACTTCAGGTTTGTTGTGATACGTTGCAACGGCTCATCAATGAGTTTGTCCGGATCTCCATCAACATAACGACTGCAGTAATTAACTGCTCTTCGATATGCCATTTTGTCTCTTGTCTTTTTGGTCGGGCTCTTTCAAGCTTTCACTTTCGAAACCGTTGTAGTAGGTGGAGTTGCCGACTTGGTCTTCCTCCTAGAGACTTTTTCAGGATCTCCGGTTCGACAGACTTCATCGTAGCCCTGCCTTCCTCCGAATTGAAGGGTGATATCCTGATCTGAAGACATAGCAGCCTCCTGAACAGACTGCTAAGGTTCTGTCTCCTTCGAAACCACCGTTTCAGGCAAATACGAGCATTCCAAAGTCGTCGTCGTCTTTTTGGGAACCCCGATGGGTTTCACTGCTGTTCTGTACGTTGAAATCCTACTTATCAGAAGTTCCCTTAAAGCTGCGTCGGAATAGTTTCTCTTGAATTTTGTAACAAACTTCAGGTTCGTTCTGGTAAGATGCAACCCCCTATCAGTAATTTTGACCGGATATCCATCAACATAACGATTGCAATAATTAACTTAATTTAATAATTAACTTAATTAGCGGTATGTTCTTTTCGTCTATTGCCTCTTTGGATTTGGTATATTTGATGAAGGGAGAATTCAGCGACACTGCAATTTTTATACCCCCCACCTTGAAAAGGAGGGTGTATTAATATTGTCATTTCGTTTGTTACATCCATAAATATGTATCGTAGAACCCATTAAGTATAAAATATTCATCGTAGAACCCATAAAGAATAAAATTCTAAGCCGATTTAATGATGTCTGTCTGTCTGTTGAAATCACGATACAGCCCACATTATTTGACGTAGAGCTTATTTTGGCAAATTTGGCACTGCAATTTGTATTGTACCTAGGATGGTTGGTATTGAAAATGAGATACATCAGTCTACGTTTTCGTATAGCCCCCAATATAACGTTCCCACCGATATTTTTATGATTTTTGCCACATTTTTTACGGATTTTTTCTAAAAATTGGTATTTGTAGTTCTTTAAGGGTTCTAGCTCCTGTGGCGAAACATTGTATGTGTAGGTTCACGTGTTTGTGTATAGCCCCCCATATAACGGTACCTCCCGATATTCGGTGTTTTGATAATATTTGGCACATTTTCCACGTTTTTTTTCAAATTTGGCATTTAAGACTTGCAATAGATAACAATCGTTATAATATAAAGTTGTCTATGTAGACTTGACTTGCAATAGATAACAATCTTAGAAACAAAGATCCCAAATAAGGGCCAAAAAATGAAAAAAGTGGCCAAGACCGCAAAAATAGCTTAAATCATACGATGGTTATATAAATATTAAATCGGGTTGTACCCTTATTCGCGAGTTATGATCGATATCATGACCTGCAAAAGCGATTTAAGGTATCTTGAATGTTTGAGAAGAATTTCTGGACCCTTTATATTTTACTGATTGTACTCCCAAAGAATTTTGCATTTTGAGCTCTCATTGGACGGATTATTGTCACATGAAAGAAGTAGGTCCACGCTTTGAAATGAGCCCCATTAGGCTTTTCCGGTCATTTTTGTTTGTTTAAATGTGTTTGCATATCCCACCGGAACCACGATGTAGGCCCTGGAATTGAAAGGTAGATGTCAGTTAACATCGTATTTCGCACTTATATAATTTTTTTGGTGAAAAATTGTATATAGTGAAAAATTATTCTTTATTTTGTTCACAAAAAAAAATCCACTGAATTCAATATGATAATACAAATTGAAAAAAAAATTGACAAAAGAAGAATAACAAATTGAAAAAAATCTTCAACTTGTTCGCTGAGTTTTTACAGTAAATGTTTGAAACTCCTTACAAAGTTTGTCAATAGAATGTACTATAATTTTAAAATTCGATTCCATTAATTTTTGTTGGTTTTTCCCGAATTGAGAATTTTTGCAATGAGATCTCTTTTTCGTGATTTTTTAGCGATTTTGAAAAAGTAATTATCTTTTAACTTTGGTGTGACCGCGTTAAATTATTTCGATATCATCTATTCCGTTTTGCTACCACATAATTCGATACTACACTTTCATGTAACCCGCCATCAATTTCAGTTCTCAAGAAATTAAGTCAATTAAATAAATTGGTATTAATATTCGAATTCAAAAATAAAATTTAAGAAACACTACAAATGTACATTAGAAAAAATTAAGTCAAAATGGAAAAAAAAATCATGGAAAATAAAACATTACTATTGTACATTTCAACAGTCATAATGAAAATGTTAATATATCACATTTTTACGCGATTTTTTTGGATATTATTATTTTCGGACAGGAGACAATTCCGAATTTGTATGAATCGTTTAAATCAGTCCAGCGGTTTTTAAGTTATAAGCGTAGTAACTAACACAACTTTCTTTTTTATATATATAAGATGTTTTCTTTTTGGAGGGTTTTAAAAGTTCAGCCCGGTCTAACCTAATGTTTTTTAGTGGCAATGCCGCTTTCCTCTTCTTCTGCCACAAGCGAACATGGTAACCAAACCTAATATTGGTTGATATGTCCAGGTATCAACGACCCCCACACACGATATTATGGAGAAAATAAAGAAGAACTATAATTTTTTTTGTTCAGCCATACCATCAACACCCGGTTATTTGTCTGAAAATCCCAGATTTTTGATCGCGGAAAATACAATCCGAAATGAAGGCCCACGGTCAAACACCATTTGAGCTTACTTGGATCTCATTGGGTCTAGTTCACGTTTGGATTTGTCCAACCTATGAGACTTTCTCTTCTTAATGTTCGCCGCTGAGGTGTGATGGCAATTTCAAGAGAAAAACTTGTCTGAAGTCTGAAAGCGCATTTAAGTTATACAGATCCAAGGGCTGATTCTCTATGCATCATTATAAAAAAGGTTGTGCTTCAGCCTGTTTAATTGGGGATACTCCTGGTTTGGATCTTTTTTATTGGTTTCATTTTATTTTTTCCAAAATCACAAGATTCCAAGTGGGATTTCGTTTTACTTCGTTGAAAAATTGTTAAAAAAATTTTCATTTTGCTTCAAGGATGACCCTGGGCGCTGGTATATTTCAAACTGGATTTACAAATCTACATTATGCATTTGGCGTGTGGCTGGTTTTGAATGCCTACACTTGCAGCGTATATTATGCTTTGAAAATCTGGTCCAACGTGCGGTCAAAACTTCATCAACATGGTAAGTTTCGAAAACTATATAAATTTTTTACCATAATTTAAGTTTCTTCCATTTTGATTTTAGAAACATTACAAAGCCTATGGTCTTCATTGTGTCTTATGGGATATATCCTTGGCGTTTTCATGTGTTTATATCTTCCAGCAAAATATTGCTTTAAATTAGACATTAAATATGCTTCTGCAACAGCACTCCTAATGGAAACCCTTCGACTGGTAATGAAACAACATGCCTTTGTGCGAACAATTTGCGGCCGTGTTATGCGGGGAAAATTGAAGAGCGGTGATACCTCAGACAGCCCTACGACAATTCCACCGTTTAGTAGATATTTCTATTATCTGTTTGCACCAACTTTCCTGTATCGAGATAGTTATCCCCGAACCTCCTGCATTCGTTGGCGTTTTGTGGCTGCCCGTTTTGTGGAATGTGTGGCCTATGTGTTTTTGTTTGCCTTTCTTATGGAAAATCATCTGAAGCCAGGTTTGGGAAATTTCGGCAAAATGGAACTGAATGCAGCGTTATTAGTTCGCACCCTTTTCCAACTGCAAATGACCTCTATGATAATGTTGTTGAGTGGTTTTTATTTTCTGCTGCATTCCTGGTCAAATCTTACAGCTGAATTGTTACGTTTCGGCGATCGTATGTTCTACAGGGACTGGTGGACATCGGGCGATATATTTGAATATTTTCGCAAATGGAATATTTTGGTTGGCGATTGGCTGTATGAGTATATATTTAAGGATTTCTATTTGTATGTTTTTAAGGGTTCCACAGCGGCCTGTGGCATGGCGGTGTTTGTAATATCCGCCATAGCTCATGAGTATTTTATTGACATTTCGCTGAGATTATTTTTTCCATTATTGGCAATTCAATTTATAGCCTCGGCTTTCAGTTTGAGTCATATTACGAAAAGGATGTCAAAAAATATGGGAAATCTAATATTTTGGTTTTTTCTTTTTCTAGGCAATGCATTTGATTTTCTTTTTTATGTGGCTGAGTTTTATACAAAAGAGAATTGTCCGAAGGCATCTTATGAGAGCTGGTCGGACCTTTTGCTGCCACATTTGTTAAGTTGTAAGGTTAAGTGATAAATGTAAATATTTATTATTATTTTTTTTTAATAATGCGTCAATGTCCAATACATGTCTGTAACCATTGTAAATGAATTTTGTATACCCTCCACCATAAATAATATGGAGGTTATATTAAGTTCGTCATTCTGTTTGTAACTAATTGAAATATAAATTTTAGACCCCACGAAGTATATATATTCTTGATTAGATTAAAATTCCAAGACGATTTAACCCCGTCTGTCGGTCTGTTGTAATCACGCTGGAGTCAAAACGAATAAAGATAGAAAGCAAAGGTCAAGTTCAAAGTTGGCCTATATTGGTCCCCTATATCGTATAGTCTCCATATAAAGGTCCTCCCAATATTCGGTATTTTGATGATTGTAGCAACATTTTTCAATGAAATTGTCGGAAAATCCACAAAGGAGTTCCTTCTGAATACTTTACCCCCTGAAAGAGTATTGTCTATATAGGTGCACGATATCGTATATCCCCATATACCGTTACCTCCCAATGTTCGGTATTTTGATGGTTTTAGCTAGATTTTCAATGGAATTGTCTAAAAATCCACACAAGATTTTCTTTTTAAACACTTTTACCCTCGGGAAGAGAACTGCCTAAATAGGTTCACGATATCGTATAGCCCACATACTACAGAACCCCCCGATATTCGATGTTTTGGCGGTTTTAGGGACATTATTCGCCGGAGTTATAGAAAATTGTCTATTCAGGTCCAGGTCTTCGTGTAGGCCCCATATATCAGTACCTTCCTATATTCGGTATTTTGACAATTCTAGGTATAATATTCACCGAAATTGTTTAAAATTTCTTATTTGAAGTGTCTAATATGTACAGGTCTAGGTCTTCGTATAGCACCGATACGGTACCTCCCTACATTCGGTATTTTTTGATGATTTTAGCTACATTATTCACCGGATTTTTATACCCTACACCACAAGGTGGTCAGGGTATTATGGTTTTGTGCATTTGGTGTAACAGGTAAAAGGAAACGAGATAGACCCATAGTTCCTTTTGATGATCTGCATAGAATCACTTTCTGAGTTGATTTATGCATGTCAGTCCGTCTGTCCGTCCGTCCGTCTGTCCATGTATTCTTGTGAACAAAATGCAGGTCGCATTTATTATCCGATTGAGATGAAATTTTCCAAACAACATTTGTTTGACTCAAGGACGGACCCTATTAAAATTGGAGATAATCGTTAAAAATTTAGATATAGCTCCCATATATATCTTCGTCCGATTTGCCTTTTATTGTGCACCAAACGTGTAATATCAGCCCGAATAGTATGGAATTGTGCACATACAACCAGACTAGGCCTGAAAATAAATATGCCAAATTTGATCGAAATCGGTTCAGATATAGCTATAACTCCCATATATATTGTTCATCCGATTTGTTATTTTTGTCCTCCGCAGCCGTAATATGCACTCTGTATCAACAATATTTGGGGAAATATATTAAATGCAGCTCAGAAATACCTTTGCTAAAATTTATCGAGATCGGTTCAGATTTGGATATAGCTCCCATATATAACTTCGTCCGATTTACATTTTATTGTGCACCAAACTTCTAATATTTGCCCAAATGGGATGGAATTTGGCACATACGACCGAATTGAGTCTAGAAGGTAGTATGCCAAATTTGGTGAAGATCGGTTCAGATATAGCTATAGCTCCCATATATATTGTCCTTCCGATTTATTGTATTTGTTATCCACAGCCGTAATATGCACTCCGTAACATCGATATTCAGGAAAATATATCAAATACAGCTCAGAAATACCTTTTCTAAATTTTATCGAGATCGGTTCAGATTTGGATATAGCTCCCCTTTATATTGTTCATCCGATTTGTTGTATTTGTTACCCACAGCCGTAATGTGCACTCCGTAACAGCGAAATTCAGGGAAATATATCAAATATCGAGATCGGTTCAGATTTTGATAGCTCCATTTTCAAATTAATTTTGCACCAAATGTGCAATATAAGTCCGAATTTAAAAGATACAAATGCTTCGGCATATTTAGTCCTTTGAATTTTAAATAATTATTACAATCATAGGGTCTATGATTGAATTCTCCCATAAAAACTTTTAATTATTATGTGGAGCTCAACTAAATTAGCAAAGTGGTGTAGGGTATCATAAAATCTTTACTGTTTTTTTTTTTTAAGTTTCGTATTTAAATGTTGTAATGGCTTATGACAAAAGTTGCCTATACAGGTACACGTCTTCCTATAGACCCAAATATAATGGCGGCTTTCTATAATCGGTATTTTTAAGATTTCAACAACATTTTTAATGGATTTTATTTTATTTATTTTTTGAAAAATTCCAAATTCGTTTAGAATGGTGGAGGGCATTTAATGTTCCGCCCGGCCGAATTTACTGCTTCTTTACTTCTTAAATGTTAGATTTTCCCAACGCCTCACTCTCACTCAAGAGTATGTATAAAGTATTTTGAAACTGGCGGAGTTAATCTTGTAGAAATATTAATCGGCCAAAGACGACAAAAATGAAATGACGAAAAAGTCAAGTGTACGACAAAAAAGAGAGGAGATTCACAAGAATTTATAGTCCTAAAACCTTCGTCACTCCCATAAACGATCTGGTCTACCCTGAAATACAGGGTGAGATAAAAAAAAACTGCAACAAAGTCAAACGCCATAATTTTTACATTTTTTTTAAATTTTATTGAATGAAAGCAATAAATTTCGGAAAAAGCATCAAATTTTAGAATAAGTTTAGATTTTTTCCAATTGGTTATCTTAGGCACGAATTATGCACTTCAAACGGCCTATAAAACCGGCACACGCTGCCCGAATTTTATTCTGCGGTATTTTGGCCCATTCCCGCCGAAGCCCTTGCTTGAGGTGATCGACACTTTGGTATTTTTTAGTGCCAACCTTAGGTGTGTCTGGTTATCCTAAAATTTGTAACAAGTGTTACAAATTGTTACTGGAAGTCGTCTGTTAACCCGAAAGTTCTGTAAAAGAGAGCGGTTGGAGAGAGAAATTTTGACAGTTCTTTCAGTGAGAGTTTGCAAATTCTTGCTGGACAAATTTCTTCTTGCAATCACTTGCAACTCTTCTTCTTCTCATTTATCGACATTCAATCAGATGTTTTCTATTGTTTGTTTATTTATTTTTGTGCTTTTAATTTGAAAATATTTTTTTTTGGAATTTGAAAGACTAATTGTTTTTGGAGAACAACTTTAAAAAATGTGGAAAACGTAAATATTAATATGTAATAAGGAAATAAAAGACTATTTCCAACATTTTTAGACAATCGCCATTAGCAACACATTTAAAGGATTCCGGGGAACACATAACATCTATCTTTCTTTTATTGCTCATATTTGTATTTTATTGCTAATTTTATTTTTTTATTTATACAACTTTTAAAATTGGTGGTGCTTCCTTTCTTTTAATTCTTTTAAAGGGGGACAAATTGGTTTGTTTTGACAAAACAGATGATTAGTTGCAAGCTTCTGCAGGAATACCGTCTGTTTACTTTTCGCATTTTCCTAGCAAAAGAGAATAAAACTACCTTACTCTCTCAGAAAGATGTTGCTGGACAATTCCTGCAGGAAAAGTAACCAGACACACCTCTTGCTTTCCAAAATAATCCAGACACAATAGTCGAACGGATTGGTATACGGCCATTTCGAATATCAATGGCTTTACCCCGAGCATACATAAAGAACATCTGTCACTAGAATAATTTTAACAGCTGTCGGACGAGTGGTTTATAAATGACAGTTACAGTTTTTTCACCTCACCCTGTAGACATGCGTACGTTTCTAGGTATGTTTATTACAACATCAGTACAGCCCATGGTAGAAGAATATAGGTAGACGCGTCGACACAGCTGCTGGGACAATGAACTGTCAAACCAATTTTGGAATTGAAAATGTTGAATGAAAAATTATTTAAATTTGTAAAAATTGCTGAAAAACGCGAATTATAATAGCCTCCGAATGACGTAGTATAAGAAAACATATAAAAATCTACTTAAATTTGAAAAAAACATTTAATTTTTTTTTGACATATCAATGCTCCCAAGCGTTGATGCATCTACCTGTATTCTTCTGCCATGGTACAGCCTGCTTATTCTGGCTGTAGTTTTATTCGTACACTTTTCCTCTTTTAGTAAAGAACATGTTTCATTATTATTTCATAACGTAGTATATGTGTAAAATCTCCAAGCAGTATATTATGTACATACATACATAGGTATGTACGCAATTATTTATTTCTGTGAATTACATGAATAACTTGACCTTGTTGCACAAAAACAATCACGTTGAGTGTAAGCCAAGTGAAACGTTTATTTTTTCATTTGAAAGAAAAAAAAAAAAAAAACAGAAATTAAACTAATTTTAGTTTAAATTCTGTTTGCGCCGTTTAACATGGCCTTCAGCCGCAGGGGAAAACTTAGTGTGACATTCGTTCAACTTATATAGGTACTTTATAGAGACCTTTGAGTTATTAAAAAAATAAATTCTATAGAATTTTTCCGTTTCTAAATGTGGTATGTTAGAGTTAGATTACGGGATGTAACCCTGTTTGTAGACTAGCTATAAGTATGTGGAGCATGTTTGCCTGCCACACGGGAGATAAATATACATGTTTATTAACTCTACATAAGATTTATGGCATGTGTACATTTGGTATCTTTCCCTTTTGTACATTTTTTGCTAACCTATTCATAGCATCATAAGTAGTTCTTAAGAAATATTTTTTATACCCTACACCACAAGGTGGTCAGGGTATTATGTCTTTGTGCATTTGTTTGTAACAGGCAAAAGGAAACGAGATAGACCCATAGTTCCTTTTGATGATCTGCATAGAATCACATTCTGAATCGATTTATGCATATCCGTCCGTCCGTCCGTCTGTCCATGTATTTTTGTAAACAAAGTACAGTTCGCATTTATTGCCCTATTCAGATTAAATTTTGCACAAATCTTTTGTTTGGCCAAAGGACGAACCCTATTGGAGATAAACGGTCAAAATTTAGATATAGCTCCCATATATATCTTCGTCCGATATGCCTTTTATTGTGCACTAAACGTGTAATATCAGTCCGAATAGTATGGAATTTCGCACGTACGATCAGATTGGAACTGAATATAATGATGCCAAATTTGATCAAATCGGTTCAGAT